TTTAGGTGAAATTAGTTGCCATGTGGGATCCAGCTGCTCTCTGCCTGTTCTTAGCCATATTTCTGGTGGGTATGTGGTCTTACTTCTTGACAGTTCCTGTAGCTTTTATGGTTTGTGTTTGTTCTGCCACATATTCACGTGTTGATGGGCATTTGTGTTGTTTTAAATTTGAAGCCATTAAAGTTCTTTTCTACTCAATGATTATAAAAAATAGCCAAGCTCTAGCTGGTTTGGCTCAATGGATAGAGCCTGTGGACTGAAGGGTCCCAGGTTCGATTCTGGTCAAGGGCACATGCCTGGGTTGTGGGCTCCATCCCCCAGGCGGTGTGTGTGTGTGTGTGTGTGTGTGTGTGTGTGTGTGCAGAAGACAGCTGATCAATGATTCCCTCTCATCACTGAAGTTTCTATCTCTCTCTCCTCTCTTCCTCTCTGAAATCAATAAAAAACATATATATTTTAAAAAAATAGCCAAAATGTTTTTCTAGTACTGTTAGGGTTTCATATTTTTACATTTAAATCTTAATCCACCTTGATTTTATTTGGGGAATAAAATATGGTAATTAAGATGGGCCTAATTAAATTTTTCTGAGAAGTCTATTATGACAATATTACATATTTTGTTATATATACTAGAGGTCCAGTGCACGACATTAGTGCACTGGGTGTGGGGGGTGGGGGTTCCTCAGCCAGGCCTGCACCCTCTCACAGTCCAGGACCCCTCGCTCCTTACCTCCTGCCTGCAGTGGAGGTGGGAGAGGCTCCTGCCACCACTGCTGCACTCGCCAGCCTTGAGCCTGGCTTCTGGCTGAGCGGTGCTCCCTCTGTGCGAGTGCACTGACCACCAGGGGGCAGCTCCTGCGTTAAGCGTCTGCCCCCTGTGGTCAGTAAGCGTCATAGCGACCAGTCGTTTCGCCGTTCAGTTGATTTGCATATTTGGGTTTTATTATACAGGATTATAGTATCTTTTGCACTAATTTGATGCAGGACCTTTTTATATATTAACTTTTTATAAATATTTGAATTTTTTATAGTTCCATATTGTATACCATTGAACTCTTATCTATTCCTAAATTAATACTACATTGGTTAAATATATTGTTGTAAAACAGATTACTATCTGGCAAATTATACTCTTTACACTCTTGTTTAAATCTTTCTTAATTACTTTCAAATTTTTATTCATCCATCCAGTTAAATTTCAGAACAGTCTTATTGATGTATAAGAGATAAATCCCTTTGGAATTTTGGTTGTAATTCATGATATTGTTATTTATAATAAGAAATATGTATTTAGCCTTTGTGCCAAGAGCTTCTAAAACTTTTAGAATATCCTAAGTGATGAGTGATAAAATGTCTTTTGTTATGTTAAGGGAACATTTGGAATGCAACTGAGGCTTGGGGTTGGTTTCCAGGAGAACCAACCATGTGATTAGAGGGTGGGAACTTTCTGTCTTTTAGAAGAGTTTGAGTAGAGGAGTGGAAGCAGAGAAAAAGCAAGGCGAGTAGGAGGATACCTAGTCTCAATGGATGAGAAGTGATTGGAGGGGTAATCTACAGGATTTCTGATGAATTGAAAGTTGCCATGCAGCTGATGTCTAGAGTATTCTAGCTCCCTGGCAAAGGGATGAACTCCAGCATAACATATATGCTGATTGTGAAATAGGAATTTTTAAGGGTGAAATAGGCAGGTTTAGGAAATTTTAAAAATTAAGAGTCCATGGAAAAAACACAGGGCTACAGAGCAGAGGTTACATTTCCATAAGACAAGGGACAGGCAACAGCTACATTTCCATTAAAAGGTCTACCAGGTATATTTACAAAATAAAGAAGGAGGCAGAAAGCCCAGAGGGAATGGGAGAACAATGAGGGAGGAGAGCCTCACACATCTCAAGTGATGTTTGACCTTTGAGCTCAGGAGTTGCTATAGTGACCAAATCAAAGGGAATATTGACCAATCAGAGGGGATATCAGGACACAGGAACTGCAGTGTTTATAAAGGGGGGGGGCGGGACGGAACTTTGTGGGACTCTTTCCCCTTCCCCATGTGGCAGTCTGTGCTGTGAGATTCTTTCCCCTTACCCACGTGGGAGTCTGTACTTGTTCTTCAGTAAGTTTCCATCTTCCATCTGTGGATTCATTCTTTGACTCCGATGGACAAAGAGTCTGGGGAACCATCCTGCCCAGGGGAACACAGTGTGTTCCAGTGCAAAAATCCCGTATCAAATGTAGAAAGTTTCTCTTCTTCATATGACTGCCAACTCAGTTACATAAATAGTATTGTAGCACATGATGTGATTGAATTTTAACATATTTAGTTTGCCACTTATCAACTAAAATATTCAAGCATATTGATTAGATGACAAGATATCACTGACATTCAAAACCACTGTGTACAGAGGCAGTTGTTCCTCAGCAGGCCATACAATGGTACTGAGAGTAGAAATAGTGAAGTTCAACATGTGCTTTGATCAGGAAGTAGAGAGGCTATGAAAATGATTCACAGGGCACCTGTCCTGATCTGGGTTTGTATATTTAAACTTTTTACTGCAACCCACAGTAAAAATATACATTTTATTCATGTTAGGCAAAATGATTCTGGGTATTAAAGTGACAGAGCCATCTTAGGAAGCAAACCAGTTCACCCTGGGAGACATGGGCCCCTATCACCTGAAGGGAATATTCTTTTTTTTTTTTTCTTTCTGCTAACCGTTTGCTTTTTTCTTTTACTCTTTATTGTTGAAAGTATTACATAGGTCCTCCTCCCCCCACCTTTTTCTAAAAATATATTTTTATTGATTTCAAAGAGAGAAATAGAAACATCAGTAATGAGAGAGAATCATTGATTGGCTGCCTCCTGCACTCCCTCTACTGAGCATAAAGCCCACAACCCAGGCATGTGCCCTGACCAGGAATCGAACCGTGACCTCCTGGTTCATAAGTCAACACTCAACCACTGAACCACACCAGCTGGGCTGAAGGGAATATCCTGGCATGAACAAGTGGGCCCATGACTTGTTTACTGCTTTGGATCATACAGCTTTAACAATCATGCGGACACTTGGTTGATGGAATTCTGGAGTTGTCAGCCTCTTTTTTCCATTTCTCGGCTAAAAATGAAATTTTTCCCAAGGACTTAGGATTCATGACAAAGATGTGAGGTGAAACAAAAGTTTCACCAACCAGACAAATCCTTACTTAATTTGTTGTGTCTGATGGTTTTTATTTTAGTTAACTTTTTAATAGTAGTCATGAAGTATGGTACCTATTTGCTTTGTTTAACAATAGAAAAGTTATTTTGATTTTCTGAATTATATAAATCATCCCATTTGATTAAATGCCTTATTGATTGTAATGTGAATATCCCATGGATTGTGGTCATACTGGTCTTAGAAAGCACATTTTTCCTTCACCTGGGAAGGACAGCACAGTTATCCCAAGGTCAGAGGGCTCTAGACCCAAAACTGTAATTTAGATAAACCCAGGTTACCCAAGGGCTCTAGACCCAAAACTGTAATTTAGATAACATGCCTAAGTTTAACCCAGGTTACCTAAGGGCTCTAGATAATGTGTTTATAAGATGCTGTTTAAACTGCTTTTTAAAAACTAGGTTCCTCATTCCAGACCTGAGGGCTCTAGATAATGTATTTCTATCAATTCAGTGACCCCGAGACCCAAAACTATAATTAACATGCTTAATTCTGCTTCTGTAAACTGCTTTTTTGCAAACCAGGTTCCTCATTCCAAACCCTGGGATGTAATCCATACCTTTGTGATTTTTGCCTATATAACCCTGGAGCTGCGACCATCTTGTTACTATGAGATTTGGGAAAACAAAATGGCCCCTCATAGTCCCGGATTGCAATAAATGTGACTCTTTAATTTGACTTCTTGAGGCATCCTTCTGTGATTCGCAGGGTACATTACAATAGTCACAACCTTTTAAATTAACCTCTTGAACCAATAATAAATTATAACCTTCAATTTAAAAAGTATGGGTTTGGGAAGTTTAGGAAAGTTTCTCTGAATCTAAGTGGCTGTGTTTTTGCTTAAGCTCTTCATGTGTGGGTAGCACCATTTGCTAGTTGATAGCACTTTTGTATTATCTAACTTAGGAAGAAATTATACTTGGCAGTTAAGTTTAGATTTAAGATTGCATATTTGATCCCAGAAGTTCTAAATTTATAATTTGTTATTTATTGTCTGTAATTTTCTCAGGACCATGTGTTCTTCAAGGCAAGGAAGTTAAATTTACTTACCTTCATATCCCCTAAGATGATGTATTAGGCTGAGTAATTGCTAAAAACTATTTTGTAGTACAATTAAAGTAATGACTAAGTAATGAATATGTCATGTGTTTAAATTGAATAATAGAACTCCAGAACCTTGAAATCTCAAGATTTTAAAAATTAGTTTGGCTATCTTACATATATTGAGTTTTCAAAATGAGTTTATTTTCCTCATAGTATAACTTTTGTCTTTTTTTGTACTTTGCAGTTTCCATGTGTTTTTATATCATATTATCACAATTGAAATTAAAATAGCCCAATTAAGTACCCATTCCCATTTCTATTGAGCTAAAAGTCAAACCCAATAGCTCAGTTTAATAAGAGACATCATGATCTGAGCCTCATCTGTGTCTATAGATTCTCCTCATTGTCTACCACCCAAATTACTAGCTATATCAATTCCCTGTGATTTTCCCTAATTCATGATATTTTAAAAACTCCATACCTTTGTAGGCTTTGTTCCCTCTGACTGAAGTGCCATCCACCCTCCTGCCCAATCCTTAACTTTGCCTGGATAATTTCTACCTCTCTCCATGTCTCTACTTCCCGGCAGTGTCTATCAAAAGTGGAATGAGACCAGTCTGGAGGATATTAGAGTAACCAGTAAATTAAGTGAATGAATAAATGAACAAATGAGAAAAGCAGAGCTAAGAGCCATGTGCCACCCTTTGGAATGTATGACTACCAATGTAATCATCTTTCTGCCATGAACAGGGTCTCTCTTGTGATACCTCCATGCCAAAGGTCCCGCTATGCCACCTACTTTGATGTTGCTGTTCTTCGCTGCCTACTCCAGCCCCACTGGTCTGAGGAAGGCACTCAGTGGTCTCTGATGTATTATCTACAAAGGCTGAGACACATGTTGGAAGAGAAGCCAGAAAAGCTCCCAGAGCCAGATATTCCCCTCCTGCCCAGACCCAGGAGCAGCTCAATGGTGGCAGCAGCCCCCTCACTGGTGAACACCCACAAAACCCAAGTAAGAGAGACTTGGTTCACTGTCATTTGAATCAATAACTGTGGTTATAACAGATTCTCTTTTTCTTCTGTGTATCCAGCGCCTACTTATTCCAGTGCTGAATATTTGGCTGGTGGTTACTGTGATGCTACTAACCTTTCTCTTCCATCTTTTACTGTTGGATCCCTTGGCTGGTCGTTAGCATTTAATTTCCCATTCAAAGAAGTGCTATCTGAATGCCCTTTTCCCACACTAATCTAGAGTAAGCCTCCGTTGATCCAAAATAATGGAAAATTGGGTCTTAGATAATCAAAGCACTACTTAATAGAGAGTTCACACATATAATATGTTGATTATAAAATGCGTGATGCTAGAGTTTTACTTATGTTAATATTATAAAATGCGTGATGCTAGAGTTTTACTTATGATTTAACCTCTTTTCCACATTTCAAAAGTAGCTAGTGCCTCAGCGTCATCATTAGGAATATTGTTTTTTGATATATAGTCTTGTTATTTATTATAGACTAGAGGCCCAGTGCATGAATTCATGCACAGGTGGGGTCCCTCAGCCTGGCCTGTGGGGATCCGGCAGAAACCAGCTCTCCAACATCCCCCGAGGGGTCCTGGATTTTGAGAGGGTGGTTCTCAGATGATGCACCCTGGAATCAGGCTCCCTCCTCTCTGGTTCTGGGTGCATCACCTGAAAACAGCAGCTGCCAAGTCACCGCAGCTTGGCAGCTCCTGCGTTGAGTGTCTGCCCCCTGGTGGTCAGTGCACATCATAGCTATTGGTCAGAAGGTCCAACGGTCAGACTCACTTAGGCTTTTATATAAATATAGATGATTGGAGTAGTAAACTGAATGTATTGATGGGATGACGTCCCCTGAAAATCACTTTTTGATAAATTAATGTCCTTATATCAGCTTGAACACTTATTCTGCCCCTCTTTCTCATCCACATCATGTATTGAATACATAAAGAAAAATATGATTAGCGATGTGTCCCAGTTATTTGGGTTTACTTAAATGTGAATTGGCTGTGTCTGAAAAACATCTGCATGTTCTCAAAATAAGCATAAGCAATACAATATCAGGGAGAAAAGGAAATAGATTCTGTTTTAGTAGTAGCTGATTATGCACAAAGTAAATATCTCTTTTGGTGAATCATTGAATAGAAAGCCACTTTTTTTAATAAGAAGAGAAAAAGATACCTATCCCCTCCCTATTTTCTTAGCTTTCCTGGAGCTTCATAGTCTCACTGGTGAAAACTCCAAACAGAAGTTATAATTAATATGAAATATATCTCCTCAGTATCAGGATTTGGATTCTGAAAGTCTGAATACAAGTTAAATATTTCATAGATATCAACATAGTAGGCATATTTCTACTAAAAATATATCTCAGTAAGAAAGTATCCTGTATAATAAAACCCTAATATTCAAATCGACCAAGAGGCAGAACAACCAGTCGCTATGATGCACACTGACCACCAGGGGGCAGACGCTCAATGCAGGAGCTGCCCCCTGGTAATCAGTGCACTCCCACACGGGGAGCACCATTCAGCTAGAAGCCAAGCTTACGGCTGGCGAGTGCAGTGGCGGTGGTGGGAGCCTCTCCTGCCTCTGCTGCAGGTGGGCGGTAAGGAGCGAGGGGTCCCGGACTGCGAGATCCCTGGACTGCGAGAGGACACAGGCCGGGCTGAGGGACCCTCCCCCGACTGGTGCAGGATTTTCGTGCACCGGGCCTCTAGTTTAGGTATAAAGCCCTAAGTCGTTAGTCATTAAGTCTACCTTTGTTATCTATTAAGGATCTCACCATGAAGTGTAATGAAGATGAAAAATCTCTCAGTCCTGAGGCCTTTTCCAAGGTGTCCTTGACCAATCTGCGTAGGTCTGCAGTCCCAGATCTTTCTTCTGACCTTGGCATGAACATCTTTAAGAAGGTGAGTAGAGCCACTTACCCTTTTGATATTTTGGTAATAAAATAAATGATTAGGGCGTGAGGTGCTTCTGATCATGCTGCTGTATGGGTGGGGTGGGAAAGGACCCCGGGGAACGAAAGTCATCTCCCAGTTTAATCGGTTAACTGCCACGGTCCAAAATGGAAACCATCCCCACACGCCACAATATTTTGAATTTAATTTAAAAAATTATCTGACTGGAGTTGAATAAAGGATGTCATCTTCTTCTTCTTGCGAGGTGCTTGGTTCAAATACTTCTTCATCTGATACCATTTATGTGGATTGAATTTTATTTGCACAATATAATATATTACAATAAATTTAATAATAGAATAATGATAATTTTCAATTCTACAGAAATACCAAAAGTGAGCATGAAATAAAAATAAACAGTCGACACAAAAAGCCCCCAAAACACTAAATTTTGTTGATGCTCCAAAGATGAAATTTGTAAAAAAATAATGAAGAATGCACCATTTTAGGTGTGAAATTCATGATAACACAAATCTCAAGTGTCACAGTGTTTATCTCTCGTGTGTCTGAGTGGCAGCCCTATATATCGATATTGGAATTTCTTCCATATGCGCTGGAATATTTACGAATTTAAGTTACCATGATTTTCTTTACAAACCCAGAGATGTTACTGACAAGTCTAATTTTAAAATTGGGTGACCAGAGTTGATAAGCGAGGTTTGCGGCTGTACGAGTAGATGCATGTGGCATGTGGGGAAGGTCTACCGCTTGTGTCTATAGATGCTTATGGCAAACAAAGGGTTAACACTGGCTTGCAGCATGACCTCTGTGTGCACGCTGATGTGGCTGGTCCAGGGACCACACTTTGAGAAAAACTTTTCTAATCAACCCAGCAAAAACCCCAGGGAACATGCTCCCTTTTTTCATTCCTTTCCCTCTTTAAACACATGTGAACATTTCTCCCATCTCGATCCCATGATATTCGGTGACTCTCTGGGTCTCCTCTTCCTGCAACATTTACTACATTTTATGGCAGGTCGTGGAGCCTTTTGGGGAGCAAACTGGAAGCTCTCCTTTGCCCTGTGCCTAACCCTTCACCTCTTACCCTCGTAGTTCAAGAGTCGCAAAGAAGACCGGGAGAGGAAGGGCTCCATCCCCTTGCATCACACGGGGAAGAGGAGGCCGCGGAGAATGGGCGTGCCCTTCCTGCTTCACGAGGACCACCTGGATGTGTCCCCCACCCGCAGCACCTTCTCCTTCGGAAGCTTCTCTGCGCTGGGAGAAGACCGGCGAGGCATTGAGAAAGGCGGCTGGCAGACCACCATTCTAGGTGACCGCAGGCCCTCCCAACGTAGGGCCGAGCTTGAGTAACCCATTTAGGAACCTGGATCTAGGTCTCTGGGGCAAATGTGGATCCTCCTTGAACAGATTAGTCAAGAAATTTGGGCCCAAATGTGAGTACCCTGTACAAAATAATGCTGTGTCTTCACAGCCAAAGAAATGTAGATAATTGAATTAATCATTCAAGAATCTTCTGTAATGAGACAGGTAATGGCCCCATTTCTTAAATATTCTAGACATGGAAACATGGCCTTAGAGGGGCCTGTGCATTAGTTTTCCTGGTGAATCCAAAGACAGGCTGTTATTTATTTGACTGCTAAAAAGGAAAGAGTAAAGAAAAGAAACATTTTTCTTTCTGGCTGGCATAGTAAGAAGGCCAGCTTAAAGTTAAGAGCTGACAGCTAGCTGGGGCCCAGCAGATGGTGTCTGACATTTGGCTTAGATCGGGGCTGACCTTATCACAGGCAGCTTCATCAATCATCTTGACTCTGTCCGTTCCCAAGGCAAGTTCAAGTCCTGCTATTTGACTGTGCCTTACGCGCTTCCTAATACCCCCTCACTCTCACTGCTGTCCTTTCAAAAGACAAAATCTCAGCAGAGTGTCTTGCAGTTTTGAAAACCCTCTTGTGATACTCTTGTCCATCTCAGGGAAATTTACCCGGCGGGCAGTTCTGATGCAGCCACGGAGATGGAGAGCTTGAGCGCCAAACACTCACACTCTCATCACACCCTGGTGAGTGACCTGCCGGACCACTCCAACAGCCACGGAGAAAACACCTTCAAGGAAGGTGGGTCGGAGGCTGCGCCCGCAGGCGGGAGTTCAGGTTCCTTTTCCTGCTTCCTGTTTTTACTCCATGTTCCATTTCATTGTACTCTGGTTCCTTGTGCTTTCTGAAAACGTGCATTCATGTAGAATATTGCTTGGTAATTTACTTGTGAGCCATTCTCAAAATTTCCTTAGTGGCAAGGGCTACTGAACAGCACACTAGGAACCCCATATGTCTCAGAAGGAAAGCAAGGGCAGGCCATTCATCTTTGTTTTCAACGATCATGGACCCACAGGGCTAGATGAGACTTGGAGGACAGTTAGATACGGGACTTCATTCCCCTCTGTGATGTCCCTCTGAAGGGTTTGGCACCTTCAGCAGGAGGAAAGTCACTGCCTTCCCAAGTCACCAGTCCCTTTTTCAGACAGCTTCCACTTCAGATAAATGCATTATGTGCTTTATATGAGCAAACGTGTCTGTGGGTGAAATTCGAGATGGGTTCTTATTCTGTGCTCTCAACCTAAGAGCATAAATTAATCCCTCTTTTCCCTAGATTGCACTTCAAGTATTTGATGACATCTATTTTTAAAAAAATATATTTGTATTGACTTCAGAGAGGAAGGGGGAGGTAGAGAGAGATAGAAATATCAATGATGAGAGAAAATCATTGATTGGCTGCCTCTTGCATGCCTCCTACTGGGGATCGAGCCTGCAACCGGGCATATGTCCTTGACTGAATCGAATCCGGGATCCTTCAGTCCACAGGCCGACGCTCTATCCACTGAGCCAACCCGGCTAGGGCTGATGATATCTATTAGTGACCATCACAGATTTATGTCCCATTTCTCTAAAGAAAAGGAGAAAAAATAATCCTTGTTTGTTGTTGCTCAAATATACTAGATAAAACCAAATATTTAAACAGCTACAAAGTAGGGAAATACTCCAAGTAAACTAGTTTAACTATAGTAATAGGGTCCATCATCTAATAGTGGGTAAAATCCACCTTCTATCTAGACAAAAGTTAAATTCTGGCCCGGGTTTTAAGAAAGCTAGCTGGAATTCACATTTTTCTATAACCTTCATTATTTATCAGCTATTCATGACATAGCCTTAACACCTGCAGCATTCTGTGGGAGTTGAGAATAGCTCTTTGACTATAAGTGAAACATCTGTAAAAGCTACAGCTGTGATTGTGGTCATATTTCAGATAATAGTATATGTGTCTAATGTGATGTCCCAGATTAATATGGAGAAAACTAAGACATTGCTTTCTTTTTATTAGTGAGATCCCAGATCTCCACGATCACAGTTGCAACCTTCAATACCACATTGGCGTCATTCAACGTAGGCTACGCAGACTTCTTCAATGAACATATGAGGAAGCTCTGCAACCAGGTGCCTATCCCAGAGATAACACACGAACCCCTGGCCTGTGCGAACCTGCCGCGAAGCCTCACGGACTCCTGCATAAACTACAGCTACTTGGAGGACACAGAGCATATTGATGGGACCAATAACTTTGTTCACAAAAATGGCATGCTTGATCTTTCTGTAAGGAGCAAGGATTTTTCTTACTGAAGCTTGAAAGATATTGATTCTTTGGTTCAGTTTTTACTATGTTGTGTAAAGTGGGCATATGAAGTCTTAGAAATGTTGAACCTTCAAATGAAAAAAAAAGTCCATATAAAAAAATTTCATAAATGTGTTAACCCTCTTAGCTACACCTTCCCCCCGCCTTTATTTTCAAGAATTACTTTACATTTGACCTCATCTCAGAATATTTCTAACCCAAAAGCATTAGTGAATCCTGAATACACATATGTAAATATGCATAAATGTGAGTGTGTTTGCTAAGTCCCTTTTTTCCAGAACGAGAGTAAGAAATTCTCAGTTTATTTTCTTTTCTTATAAAAGCAACATGACTATAAACCTCCTGTGTAGCAGGGGAAAATGAACAGAAGTCCAATAAAATATTTAAACTTGCATTCTCAAGGATGCCTGTCTTGATTATAGTTATTAGCACAATGGAAGGGTTTTTATATTTTACAATTATATTTCACAAAACTTTTTATTTCACATTAGGGAACTGGATCGGCAAATAATTTAAAACATTAAAATAAAAAAAGACATAATTTAAAAAGGCAAACATTTTGTATTTAAAATTGAAATGTAAATAATGATACAATTGTGAATGTGCAAATGTTCCTCTATTATGTGCATAAGGAAGTCATTTTTTCTTTATCCATTATTGGTGGAGAGTGAAAGGCAAAAAATTAAAATGCTTTGATTTAAAAAGCAATTGAACAAGTTTCCTTTTGGACAAATGCTCTCCCATTAATTCATTATACTCACTATCCCCATTAACTGTCTATATATCATGGCAAGTTTGGGAATACTTAAGTGAGATAATACACATATGCATTTTTAATTCATTGAGTGTTTTGTACTCTATATTAAGCACATAAACAAGGCCCCAAACCAACTTAGAAATATCTGAAAATTATCTGAATTAATTATACTCAAATGCATAGAATATCCTAAAAGAAACTGATTAAACAGAATAACTGAATCTAATAGGAAGAGATAATCCAATTAATTTAATCAGCCTCTGTTTATTTTTGTCTTTCCCCAGGTGGTTCTGAAGGCTGTTTATCTTGTCCTTAACCATGACATCAGTTCTCGAATCTGTGATGTGGCACTAAACATTGTTGAATGCTTGCTTCAACTTGGTGTGGTGCCCTGTATAGAAAAGAACAGAAAGAAGAGTGAAAATAAGGAAAATGAGGCTGTGGAAAAAAGACCAAGTGAGGGAACTTTCCAGTTCAAAGGAGTATCTGGAAGTTCCTGTGGATTTGGGGGCCCTTCAGTTAGTGGAGCTGGAGATGGTGGAGGAGAAGAAGGAGGAGGTGGAGATGGAGGAGGTGGAGGAGGCGATGGAGGAGGAGGTGGAGGAGGTGGAGGTGGCCCTTATGAGAAGAATGATAAGAACCAAGATAAGGTATGACTGAACTACCTTCTGTGTCCTAAGGAATGTTTCCCCTCACTACTTTCCAGTGTGTTTTTCTCAGCAATTTGTTGACTCAGAACAACAGCTAATACCTAGAGCAAGAGACTGTTAAATCTAGAAATCTCTTCATTAGGTCTTCAGCAGGCATCAGTGGAAAGAGATAAAACTGTATTCTAAATTCAAGAACCATTGCCATCCAAGTAATGTTAGACCTAATTTCCTGGTCATGTTATTTCTGCAAAAGAACATCTCAGATACACTATCTGGCCATAATTTGAGTCTGCCACCAAGGATGGCCTCTTTCTCAAGACTCTCAGGGTCTGACCTAGTTGAGCATTGTTCTAGTCCAGTGGTCGGCAAACTCATTAGCCAACAGAGCCAAATATCAACAGTACAATGATTGAAATTTCTTTTGAGAGCCAAATTTTTTACACTTAAACTATATAGGTAGGTACATGGTTATTAACTTAATTAGGGTACTCCTAAGGCTTAGGAAGAGCCACACTCAAGGGGCCAAAGAGCCACATGTGGCTCGTGAGCCGCAGTTTGCCGACCACTGTTCTAATCTCCTCAGGCTACCATAATATCATAGATTAGGTGGCTTAAGCAACAGAAATTTATTTTTCACAGTTCTAGAGATTGGGAAGTCCAAGATCAAGGTGCAAGCAAGGTGTTACATTCTGAGGCCTCTTCTCTTGGTTTGTAGATCACCACCCTCTTGCTGTGTGCTCACATGTCCTATATTTAATGCATGCGCATTAAAAATAATATTTTTCTCCATCTCTTTCCAGTCACACTGGATGTATGTTTAATGTGCATTTGTCATCTGTGTTTCTTCATCTATTATTTTATCTATTATTTATTCCTATCTACCCAATATTCTTGGACTGTGATCCAAATATTCCTTCCCCAATATTCTTGGGTTCCTGAACCTTTTCTTCAGGATTTTCTTCTCCTGATATATATAATGTTTTCCAATTCTAATAGTATGTTCTGGTACTTAAGGTTTTCAGCTTCTTAGCTCCTCATGCATCACTGATGACTATCCAAGAATCCTCAGAGTTTCCTTTAGGTAAAAATTATCTAAAGGATAGTGCAGCTCACAAGGAATTTTATCTTGGACTCTAAAACCTAAGGGATCATTCAGTCAGCAGTTATGTAAGAATTAGCAACCAAATACAATCTGTAAGGACCAAATTTATAAACACAGCAAACAGTGAGATTCTTAATAAAGTTCCATTTTTTAACCTATCAATTTAGGCTGGTCACTAAAAGAGATAATAGATGGTGGTGTGTCCATTACAATATTCAAGGGAAAAAAAGAAAGAAAAAAATAAAAGTTAAAAGAGACAAAAATTTTCATAAGCTTTTATCCGTAAAATGTAGATATTTCATCTAAATTGATGAGGGTTTTGCTATATATCCTAAGAATCTCTAAGGTTCATTAATAATATTACATTTTTGTTTTTAGTTCTGATTTTTGCCCAATTAATATTTTCAACTAATTTTTTATTTTTTTTTAAATCCTCACCTGAGGATATTTTCCACTGAACGAGTGGAAGAGAGAGGGAAAGACAGAGATAAATATCAGTGCGAGAGAAACTTATCAATTGGTTGCCTCCTGTACGAACCCTGACCAGGGCCTGGGCTGGGGAGGAGCCTGAAACCCAGGTACATCCCCTTGACTGGAATCAAACCCAGGACCCTTCACTCCACAGGCTGACATTCTATCCACTGAGCCAGACAAGCTAGGGCTAATTTATTATTGAAGACCTGCAGTTCTCTGTCTTATTTAAAATCTAGATATTATACTAGATACTTGATAATATAAGTGTTATTTTGATTAGTATGGAAATTTTTAAAGTCAGATCAAGTGGTTTCAAAAACAGACACCAAGATATAAGTGTTTTATACTTAGTTCTGCAAAATAGTATTCTTTGTAGTACAAAGAATTTATAAAATTTATAAAATAAAATATGACTGTAGGTCAAGTTCATTGGTCTTGTGCGTCACACAGGTCTGTTCTTTCCCAAACCCATCTGTTACTTTCAGTGACATCAGAAGGTTTATCTAATTTTGCAAACTGGTAAATACCAGAAACAAGGGGAATTTATTATATTCAGAAAGGAAGATCTAATTTCTGTCTCTCTGTTTGTCACTGACTCATATTGAGAGCTTGAAATGTTATTTAATATCTGTCCTGATCTTTGCCTGTAGCTGGATCCATCTCTCTGAATGTCACCTGTGAGAGAAACCTAAATCCCAAGGAAATAAGAAAGTCGAAACAAATACAAACTTAAAAGATATTTACAAAGAAATTTTGGAGCTAGGGTTTTATTTTAAAGGAACATATAGTAATTCCTAAATGTGTCTTAACCAATCTTCTAAACCAGCCTTTACCCAAGGTGACCTTTTCTGAGGCACCAGCTGTGCAGTGTGTGTACTACATAAAGGCTCTCGGCTAAAGGAGTCAGTCAGTAAGGACTGAAATCCAGTCCAAGCTTTGCTCATTGAGCTACTCACCCAAAGCCTTCATCCACTAAGAGGGCTCACTTTTCCCTGATTCATCCACCCAGAGGAGAGTCTTCTAATTTGCACCAAGTTGCCCCAAAGGATAGCAGTACTCTAGAAATAGCAATTAGCATTTGTTTTGCTATTATTCTGTGCCTTACATGTTTTGACTCATTTAATTCTCGCAACTCTATGAGAGAGGTATTATTATGATTCCCAGGTTGTAGGGTACAAAGTAGTTACATAGATAGCCCAAGGTTATGGAGCTAAGATTTGAATCCAAACTGAAACATTTCTGAATTGGTATATATAAATATAAGAATGAATGAATGAATGAATGAATGAATGAACAGATAGAGGTCTACTGGTAAGTTTGAATCTTTCATTTGCAACCATCTAAGCTGCAGAGTTCTCAGTAAACAGACTCAGACATGGAGGTATGTGTGCAGGAAGTTTCCTGAGGTGTCTTCTCAGAATCAATATCTGTGAGGTGTAAAGGAAGCAGGATGGGGCAGAGAGAGAAGTTGAACTGCAATGTAGTTATAATAGAGACCTCAGCCAATTAACACACATGAAGGTTTGGAGCTGGGATGGTTCCTCAAAGTAGACCCCAGGTGAAGTAAGGGATCCCACCTTTATATTCTCCACCCTCTTTATTTCCTTGACTATCCATTGAAAGCAGATTGCTTCCAGGAAGAGACCATAACCTTGGATGAATCTTCTCTCTTTAGCTAGGGGCAGTGCCTGGAGAGGAGTTCAGCTCAGTGAATGAATGCTTCAGTCCTAAAAGGGGCATCTCTGGGGTCCAGCCCCATACGCTACATCAGCCTATAGATTAGAAAAGTAGGACCAACTACGTAACATGAAGGGAGGGGAAAGTCTACCACATTATGGCACATGATGCTAGGTAACCTTCTGTCCCTTTCATACCCTACACATCTGGGTATGTGTATGGCTCCAAAGTTTATGTATACACTTGATTATATGACTATAAAAGAGCCCATCATTTGTCTATTAATTTATTCTGCACAGTCAACCAACGAAGTAGGAATGGAAGCTATTAGGATCTTCAATTCACAGGACAGAAAACTAAAGCACATAGAGATGAGTTCATTTATCTAACATGATATGCAGTTAAGTAACAGGAGATGGAATCTCAAATATGTGCTGACAGCAGACTGTAGCCAGAAGGACTCAGGAAGATTGAAGCCTCCCGAAGGTAATGGCACTCACTCCCACACTGGGGTCTGCGTCATTCCTTAGCAACGGCATCCTTATGCTTCTTTGGAAATATTTCAAGGAGATTCATTTTTCTGGAAGCTATGTTTTCCATTGACAAGAAGGATTAAATGGGGTAAAAGAAAGGATGGTAGTTCTCATAATTCATGCAGGAAGGCTTCCTCTTTAGCTGCAAAGGACAAATCAAACACTTACAAATTTCTTTATATTCTCACTTTATATTCTAACAATGTAGTGAAAGTCTAAAATTAGAAAAATTCTTTAAAAATCTCAGAAATTGTCATGTGATTTCTAGTTCCAGTCTTTGATCAGTGCCAGAAATTTAGCAATAATTCTTGCTTGGTACGATCAGGAAATAATTCTTGCCTGCTGATGAGGGTAGCTTCTGGGAAAATCTATTTGCCTTCATCACTGATAGTCCACACTGCCTCTCTTTAGCAGTTTTCCTAATAGTCTGTCAAGGATACAAAAGCATATCTTTGAATAAATAAGTCTCCAGCTGGCCGGTGTGGCTCAGTGATTGAGCTTAGACCCATGAACCAGGAGGTCATGGTTCAATTCCCTGTCAGGGCATATGCCTGGGTTTCAGGCTTGATCCCCAGTAGGGGGTGTGCAGGAGGCAGCCGATCAATGATTCTCTCTCATCGTTGATATTTCTATTTCTCCCTCTCCCTTCCTTACTCTGAAATCAATAAAAACATATTTTTAAAAAGAAGTTTCCATTCATACCCTTTAGTCCTAGAGGGTATACAAAATGCATAGATATTTTTCTTTTAAATCAATCATGATCTAGGTTTTAGAAAAATTAGCTTGCTTGCTGAACCCTTGACAATGTTATTTTGCTAATTGCAGGTGCTCACTATAAAACAAATTAACTTGGCTTAATCATAAAATAAAATCTTGGTAGCAAAAGGACCTTAGTGATTAAGTAAACATACTTCTCTTTCTTTCTTGTCCGTGGGTACTAGGATGAAATTATCCCTGTAAGCAACCATAGGCTTGCGCTAACCATGCTCATCAAAATAGTGAAGTCTTTGGGATGTGCCTATGGTTGTGGAGAAGGACACCGAGGGCTCTCTGGAGATCGTCTGAGACACCAGGTATTCCGAGAGAATGTAAGAGAATTAAAGTAGATTCCATTTCTTCTCCCTCATCCCTCCCTCCAACATAAGCATGAGTCCTTGGACAATGAGGGTCAGTGTCCTCTGAAAAACATTGTATTTCATAGGGGTAAATAATGATATCTTGTGTTGGGAGGATTCCCACAAGATATCTTAAGATATCTAAAACCCAGGCCCAGGAAAGTTTAATTGGGAAAACAGTTCTGCCTCCTGTCTAGAGCAGGCCAACTCCCCGTTGGTGAAAGAGTATATAATTGGAATGTGTGCACTCCAGTTTGGAAGAACTTTGCAATGATGAATACATGTAGCAAGCTTCCAATGGTCTGTGACAAATGGCATTTTAATCACACTGGCCTGGGTACTATTTTTATTTAAGAAAAGGAGTCGACGTTTAGGACTGAATTTGTTGTTCTTACATGGATATGGAAAATGGCCCTTATTGAGACAAAAGAGGACTGTAAAAGTAGCCAGTCATGTTCTGGCTACTTTGTTTGAGAATGAACCTTGGCTTCTGTTGGAGATCATGTCCCTTTGAACTGTGTGAAACTTGAAACTCTGCACTTGGGCTTGCAAAGCATGATTCTGTAATGGAACATGGTCTCATACCAGCTCATTTCATTTGCCTCGGCTGATGGTTACTTTCCCCTTCACACTTGCGTGACAACCCATCTCCATAGCAAGTCTGAACTGGGACTGTTGCCTCAAATGTATATTTGAATTGAAATCCTGAGAAAATATTTGCCTACAATAAGAGTTTGATATGCATTTGAGTCTAAGAAACCATTTGGCATATCTTGCAGAGTTTTAGGATCATGTCAAAATCTAATGCCAGCCCATTTTAACTTGGTATTAGGTTTTGTTGTGAAATGCTCACACAGTATTAGCATGCTGTGTTTCTTTTGTAATTCATCATCTACCTCTCTATCCATGTATATATATCATTTCGTTTATGTTCTATTATGTTGTATATCTTAGTTTATTATATGTATATGGGGGTTATATTTCACAGTAATTAACTTCTAAATTATGAAACTTGAAAACTTTGACCAAGATCTAGATTTTGAGGCCAAAACTAAATCAAAGTAATAAGAAGGCAATAAAAAGCTGACTTCACCCCTATCTTTGCACATGGGTGTATGATTTTGAATTCTATCACAGTATGAATGAATGCCCTCAAGGCTGAAACCTCATCGCTCATCATCTAGAAGACCAGTTCTATAAAGTGAAACACTAAAATATGACGTGTGATACTTTAGTTGGAGGTAACAACTAGCTCTGATACCAGAACCTGTCTTTTTAGACTTGGAGAAAGTAGAGCTAGTTGAATCGCAAGCTACTTGAGAGGCTGTTGTTAACTTCTTAGTTCACCAGGCTTTGCTCTTCAAGACTACTGTGTGTTTCCTACCAGGATGTCCAGTTTTCTACCTTCCTGCTCAGCTTTGCTGACTTACATGGGGACTCCTCCCTTATCTTGCAGCCCAGTTTAATATTCATTCTGGGGATTTGTGCTTATCCATGCTCAGTAAACTCATGGTTCATTCTTCAAGAGATAAAAATTTGAGAAAATTTCCCTGGGAATTTCTAATTCAGGAAGGTAGGCGTTTCCAGATTTCGAATGCATTGCATTTCCAGAGGGTAAAGGACACATATGTAATACCCTTTGTAATACTTTTAGCAAAAAATAAAAATAAAAAAAATTAAAAAAAAATTAAAAAATTCATTTTTAAAAAAAATGTTAAGAATATTTCTTACCTCTACCAGATCAAGTCCTCTAGACTTTCATTTTATTTTTAAATATATTTTTATTGATTTCAGAGAGAGGAAGATAGAAACATCAATGATGAAAGAGAATCATTGATCGGCTGCCTCCCCTACTGGGGGTTGAGTCCATAACCCAGCATGTGCCCTGACCAGAAATTGAATCTCTTGATTGCTTGGTCAACACTCAACCACTGAGCCAGGCCAAATGGTGATATAACTGAGGTTTTCTCCTGTGATATTTCTCTCAATAGAAGAGGGCAGTACCAGTGCATTCTGTCTGTGGCCTTCTGCAGTGAATGACTGTGAGTTTATTGTTCTGATGGTGGGGATTATCCCCATTCCCTTTCCAATTGGCAAAATTATTTGCTGGATCATGAGATATATAATTTTGAGGAGCTGGGCCTAGCCAGCGGTCACTTATTTTTCATCTCTATGAAGCCAACTTTTATTTTAATACCAACGTTCACATTTAAATGCAGACGCATGAGTAAACAAACCAGACTTGCCTTTACTTTAAGCCTCTTTCATGTTTCAAGGATATTTCCCTCCTGACCACGTAAGAGGACCCTGGATACGCACCTCCTACAAACCTCCCACCCCACCTTCATTTATCTACTTAAGTTCAAAGTAGCTGAGCACGGGAGTGGCATGCTTCTTCCCATTGCACATAGCCAGCAAATATTCTAACCATAGATTCCCAATCCTGTCACCTACCTAAATTTCACACTTTGAGCTTTCTTCAATGAGACCTTAAATTCTTGATCTTGGTGGAAATATTGAACCCCTACTGGCATCAGCATTAGACCTTAGCTTTGGGTTTACCTGGTGCAGCCCTTCTCAAAGCAAATGCCCTTGGACTGCTCAGCCTGTCTCTGCCCACTTCTTACTTGGACACAAGGGGCTGGCAGGCTGGCCAGCACCAGGCAGCTGGGATGGAAAGGAGCCTTTGCTTTCTGAAGGCTGCCGTCTCGGGCTAATGGTATCCTTAGCTTAAGCTGGTACCTGTGACTTTTTCACTTTTCTTCCTTCCTTGCAGGCCCAGAATTGCCTCACTAAGCTGTACAAGCTAGATAAGATGCAATTCCGACAAACCATGAGGGACTATGTGAACAAGGACTCCCTCAATAATGTAGTGGACTTCTTGCATGCTTTGCTAGGATTTTGTATGGAACCGGTCACTGACAGTAAGTAAAGCTGAACCAAGTTGTAGTTCTAGAAGTCGCTGTGAGGTGAAGCAGGTAGCATTTCAGAAGCACACTAAATTTATATGGATAGAATGTAGAGGAGGAGGTGTGTGTGTGTGTGTGTGTGTGTGTGTGTGTGTGTGTGTGTGTGATAGGGTATAAACAAGAGAAGCGTGTACATCATCTTTGACGACATATTTTGGAGCCTTTCTGAGGACAGCTTACCTCCGCAAATGGGAATTGAGTGAAGCTGCGGCACCCTCACTGTTAGCCCCTCAACCCTTGCACTACCATTCCTCTCTCTCATATGACCTTCTATTGTGTGACAACTGAGGCAGAGATCCAGGAACTAGGAAATATATTCATAGATAGTCATATAAATGAATATCTATTATGTGTTCACCACAGTGCTTGGAGATTTTTTTTTCACAAAATAAAACAGGCAAGAAAAAATATATATAAATATAGTAGTAACACAATTTTGATACACACATATACGCATTCAATATACTGATTAAAAAAAACAACAGGCAAAATGGATGTATAGACAGGCCCACAATATTTTATTTATATCTTAGCTTCATGGCTTTAAGAAAACTCCAGTGTAGAGACCTGTGTTATGGGGGGAGACCAGTGAACACCACTTGCATCCATAATAAACCAAACACCTTCAATGCCACTTGAATGCAAATGCAGTAATGAACTGAAAGTGATGTGTTTCCCAGGTTGAGGAAAAGGCACATTTTCATTAGAGCCTGGGAAGAAATAACTTCTTAGTGTAGGAGGGCTATATTTATACAATATGTGTAGTATAGTAGTCGATCAATTTATAATGAAGAGATATTTGATGGATTTAGAAAATATTGTTTCTCTGAAGAAAATGTGGAATAATGTATGTTATCAAAGCTCTTCCCTGACCAGTTTGGCTCAGTGGATGGAGCGTCAGCCTGCGGACTGAGGGGTCCCGGGTTTGATTCCGGCCAAGGGCATGTACATTGGTTGTGGGCACATCCCCAGTAGGAGGTGTGCAGGAGGCAGCTGATCGATGTTTCTCTCTCATCGATGTTTCTAACTCTCTATCCCTCTCTCTTCCTCTCTGTGAAAAATCAATAAAATACATTTTTTAAAAAAAGTTGTTTTAAGCCAAGCACATTACTAAATAAAAAAAGAGAAAAAGCTAGAGAAATAAAATGAGAGTTGTGGTTGAGACTGTAAGAGAAATCTTGATTACAAACTTTTTAAACAATCTTTTTTAAGCTATTTGAGATAGAAACTATAAGCATAGACTAAACCATTTGTTTCTAATGTAAAATCTAGAGATTACCCCTTGTACATTGATGCAGAAAGTGAGAGGTTGATAATAAATTGTATTACTTGAAGGTGATGAATTCCTCCTGGGATTCTTGAGAAATGGAAATGTCTCACAGTGAATGGGCCAGCCAGAACACAGGGCCCCATCTAGTCAGTCTTGGAGCTACACACACTCTGCCCCTACAGTCCACAGTCCGTAGTCCACAGGTGGCTCGAACGCCATGAGGAATTTTCTGCAGCCCCCGAATACCTGATGTTACCCTACAAAAGGTCCGTGGATTCATGAAAAACTGGCATAAAATGCCACAGAGGGTGAGGGCCTCAGTTCACTGGCATTTCACATTTCAATGAATTAGAAAGGGGTGCCCGAGAGGGAGGTTGTAAATTTTCCTTCTCTGTCTGTCCAAAGAGTCTCTGGGAGCGAGATGCTGCTGGAATTTCTTTGCAGCTCTTGGCAGGACTCAGTCCCTTCTTGTTCCCATTGCATACCTGTGTGAGTGACTCCCCAGGCCCCTCCTGGCCTCTTCCCTCCCCC